GTGAGCAGGTATTAAAAGAATTGAATGGGCCGGGGAAGATGGCTCAGCGGTTGAACTGCTTGCTGCACAAACATGAGAACTTGAGTTTGAATCCCCAGCAATAGCCCAAAAAAGCTGAGCATACTGGAGTGCAGCGATTAGAGCTTGTGCACGAGACAGGACTGTGTATCTTCCTGCTTTTCTTAAAGTGTCTATCAGACCCAAGAGTTCTATTTTTTCTAATCCCCAAGTAGCTCACTCCAGCAGTGCACCCCCCACACCCCAACAGTTCCTTGTTATAGTGCATTTGCAGCAATGTTAATGGATTTTTTTTGTGCAAAGCGAAAAAATTCAGGCCAAATTCCTGCACTGGATTTACAGCCTGTTAGAACCTTGGGTTCCTCCTGAGGCTGGGACTGGCAGGCACCACTGTTGAGACTGAGGTGCCACACTGCTCTCCTTGTGCACGTGGCTTTGGGTTTTCCTCTCCTTTTGGGGGGCAAGGAAGGGTTGTAGGGTAGATTTCTAAACTTGTTCTGAGTTGCCTTTCAGTTCCTCAGTGCTTTTAGGCTCTCCTGTTATCTCTTGATTCCTAAAGCTCTTCCTCTCTCCTCAGATACTTTACCCTTTGTTGCCTTGACTTTCCTCAGTGGTAGAGTCCTGTGAAAGATACTTTGTGTGTACACTTAACTTTTTAAAAAGATTTTATGTGTATGCATGTATTGCCTGCATGTAGGTAAGTGCACCCGTGTTGTGCAATGCCTGCAGAGGGCAGAAGAGACTGTCGGATCCCCTGGAACTGGAGTTACAATTGTTAGCTGCCATGTGGGTGCTGGGATTTGAACCCAGGTCTTCTGCAAGAACTGTCAGTGTTCTTAACCATCTCTCCAGCCCTGTGTGTGCACTTAAAAACATTTAAAAAAATTTTACGTGTATGAGTGTACTGCCTGGATGTAAATAAGTGTACCTGTGTCATTGCCCACTGAAGTTAGAAGAGGTCATTAGATTCCCTGGAACTGGAGTTATGTTTTTTAGCTGCCATGTGGGTGCTGGGAACTGAACCTGGGTCCCTTGAAAGAGCTGCCAGTGCTCTTAACCACTGAACCATCTCTCCAACCCCCATTGTGTACACGTTTTAAACACAAGCTTATTTAGCCCAGGTTGGACTCAAACTCAGGTTAATCCTCTTGTCTCAGTCTTCTAAGTTACAAGCCTGTGCCACCATGTCTACTTTGATAGGAAAATAAAGGGCTGCTTATTCTTTCCATGACTACAATTTCTTGGTACACACTATTTAACCAGACCCTACTGATGCACAGCTATTTACACCTTCATCTTTGAAGTAACACTGATGCAGCTCCCACTGTGGTCATGGACCCTTCTACTCAAAACCATCTCTATTAAGCACTTGGACAGGTATTGCTGTTTTCCTTCTAGATGTTTCTCTGAGATGCAAGAGTTCTTTTTTATGGCTGATAGCTATACTGTCATTAGTGGGGCTGTGCTGGTTGTTCAAATACCCTCATACTTTAGGCAGAGTGTGGTGGTGCACACCTTTAATCCCAGCACTTGGGAGGCAGGTCTCTGTGAGATGGAGACCAGCCTGGTCTACATATTGAATTCCATGCCAGCTGGAGCTACAGGGAGACCCTGTCTAAAAAAAGGGGGAAAAAAAAATTCAGGGGGTGGAGAGATGGCTCAGAGGTTAAGAGTACTGGCTGCTCTTGCAGAGGACCCACGTTCAGTTTCCAGCATCCACATGGTGGCTAACACTCATCTATAACTCTGGCTCCAGGGGATCTGATGCCCTCTTCTGACCTCTGCAGGCATTACATGACACAGGCACACCTACGCAGGCAATACACTCTTACACATAAAAAAAAATTAACAATTCAAATTGATTTCCCAATTTGAGTTTTATAGTTACCTATGAAAACTAGTGTTTTGAATAGTCCTTTTACAATACTCAAAATGCATAAAAATGTAGTGAAAAGTTTCTTACACATTACTATCCCCTAGGTTTCCTCCCAAGAGTTTATGCATATGCTGGGGCTATTTTATCTCTAAATCCATTTGTACTGTACTTTTCCTGTTACAGAGAAACAATAGCAAATCATACACATTGGTTAACTCTGCTTTTTACATTTTGACTTGAAGATTTAAAAGTAAGATTATTTATACATATGTATGTATGTATTGGTGAGAGTTTATATGCATTGTGTGTACAGGGGGCCCAGGGGGCCAGAGAGTTGGAGTTACAGGCAGTTGTGAGCTGTCTGATGTGGGCGCTGGGAGCTAAACATAGGCCCTCTGCAGGAGCAGCAGGAGCTCTTAACCATTGAGTCATCTCTCCAGCCCCAAGATTCCTTTTTTTAGCCAGTCTCTGCCCACGTGTCTATCAGGTCCTTTGTTCACTTAGCTTCTTGCATCTAACCCCTTTTCTTTGTCTTCCCTGAAGAAGAATCCTGAGTTCTTTCAGCAAAGCCTGAAAATACTTTCATCCTTGAAAGTATTAACTGTATGTAGAATTCCAAACCAAAAGCATTTCCTGGCAGGACTTAGATGTGACTGGATCTCCTGGCTTCTACTGCTGCCTCCTTACTCTTTGCCTCTTCCTGGTTTTGGTAACAACCTCATCTCACAGTGTGATGTTCAGTAGCCTATTGCTTACAAGTGCTGGCTTTCAATCACCCTCACAGACATTTGCTATGTTTCAACTGAAGACTAAGACTTTGGTTAAAATTCAGATCCCTTCCTCTCCTCTTATTGGATCTTTTCATCCTGTTTTCCACATCTCCAAGTCCTTTCCTATTTCCCATTTCTTCCTCTGATAGTCTTTCTATTGTTCCAATTTCTCTTCTAGGTCAACTAGGTAGGCTCTGTCTCTGGTTTAATCTGACTTAATTTCAGCATTTTTTTTTTTAACTTATGAAGACATAGCTTTTTAGTTGTTTTTTGCAGGGTCTCCCTGTAGCCCCAGCTAGCCTGGAACTCGCTATGTAGACCAGGCTGACGTTGAACTCACAAACATCTGCCTGCCTCTGCCTCCTAAGTGCTGGGATTAAAGGCTTGCGCCACCAAGCCCAGAAGACTTAGCTTTTAAAATCTATGTTGCATTTTCATGTCTTCCTGTCTGACGGTTCTTATACCTTTTTTATTCCTGTCATCACCCCAAGCATTTAAACATATTTACTCCAGTTACTCCACTCCTGTGGCATGCCCATCTTCCAATACTGTGTCCATCGACTTGTGCTGTCCATGGCTATTTTGGAAAAAAAAAATTGTAGCTAAGTGTGGTGGCGCACACCTATAAGTCCAGAACAGGCAGCAGAGGCAGATGGATCTGTGAGATCAAGGCCAGCCTGGTCTTCATAATGAGTTCCAGGTCAGTTGGGGTTATAGAGAGACTTGTCTCAAAAAACCTTTATTATTGTGGGTATGTGTGTGGTGTTTAGTGGAGCTGGTTCTCTCCCATCACCTTTTCACTTTGCAGTGGGTTCTGGGGATCAAAGTCAGGTTGTCAGATCTGCAAGGCTTGACATGCTGCACCATCTCAGCAGCCTCTATTTTGGAACTTTGATGAGCCCATTTGAGTCTTCTTTCCTTTATGTGAATACCTGCAGCTTGCATCATGCCATCCTTCTCTAACCAGGTTGCTATTTCTGTGTGAACCTATGTCACTAACTTTCAAGCCTGGATCCTCAGGCACCTAGGAAACTGATATGCTTGAGTTTAAGACTGTGTGAAAACAAGCTGTGACTAAAAAAAAAATCTTGTAGCTTTAAAATGCCATGTCCTATATATCTCTGAAAAGTTAGAAAACTCATGTGACTAGGTCTGAAGGACTCAGCAAAATGTTTATTATGTAATTAGCTAGTGCCAAGCACAAAGCCTTGTAGTGAATCATTTAGTTCTCTAAACCTCATGAGGTAAGTACCATAAAATTTATAAAGGTTATGCAGGACTGCACAGCTGGTGAGAAGGTAAAAATCCAAATCTGGCCCTAGAACAATAACTTAATCACTATTCGTTCAACAAAAATTTACTTATGAATTATGTGCCAGATAAGCTAGGTGCTGTGTTTATTGGCATACCAAGTAGATAGTGGTTATTTTATTAGTCTTTTTGAGACAGGGTCTCCCTATAGTCCCAGCTGACCTGAACTCACTATGTAGACCAGGCTGGCCTTGAACTCACAAAGATCCGCCTGCCTGTTTCCCAAATGCTGGGACTAAAGGCGTGATATTGGTTATTTTAAAAACTTCACTGCATTTATTGTGTGCAAGCATGCTGTACACACACTGTGTGGTACTCACACGTGTGAAGGAGGACTACTTACAGGAGCCGGTTTTCTTTTCTCCTTCCACTACATGGGCCCCAGGGATCAAACTTTATCCACTGAGCCATCTTGCTGACCCAGACATGGGGTATTCCCCCCTTCTGTTTTTTTTAGACAGGGTCTCTCTGTAGCTCCAGCTGGCCTGGAACCTCATATGTAGACCAGGCTGGCTCTATCTCACGGAGATCTGCCTGCCTCTGCCTTCCAAGTGCTAGGATTAAAGGCGTGTGCCACCATGTCCAGTCTCAAATACTGGTTCTTAAACTTTTCAAATTGCAGTAATTTCCAGCCTGTTTGCAGACCAGTATTTTGGCAAAAGCAATTCAAAATTTTGCGACAAATTGTTTGAAAAGTTTGTTCACTCATTTTTTTTCTTTTTTCTTTTGAAGTGCTAGTTCATGTTCTTAAGTGCTCTACCACTGAGCTACATCCCCAGCCTTGTTCTCTTTTGTATTCATTTCTCCACGGGGTGGTAATGAAGAGTGCAGACACACCCCATCTGTACACCAAACTCCATGTAAACTGCTCTATAGTATGCTGGAAGACCATTTGGGACCCTTCATGTTTATCTGTGTTTTCTACCTGGTAAAGAAGGGGTACCACCATCACATGCTTTCTCTGTCACTGCAGTCTTCCAACTGAACAGGACAGTAGGCAAAGGCACAGTCAAGAGTTCTAATTGTTAAGAGCTTTGGGAAATTTATTTGCTTGTTTTCTTGCCTCAAGCTGCGAACAGTTGGATCACATCATACACTGGCATGCACGCTTAGGAATAGCAAGCAAACATTGCACGATTCTCTGAAGTGAAGCAGGACTAAAGCTGCTGAAATACATTGCAAAGTCACTCGGACCATCATTCATTTCTTGTGGAATGTAGAGGACTGATCACACACAAGCCACTTAGGATATGGAAATAGAAAATACACTACTATTTTTTTAAGAGAAAAAAATATGACTAACAGATTTAGAAACTTATTGAGAATGTTTTTATGACATAGAAAATAAAAATATATTTCTCTTTATATAAGTAGACTGACTTTCATGAATGAATTTTAAGATTTACCAAGCTGTTGCTGGATGGTCTGAAAGTGCAAACACATCTTAAAGCATCTGAATCAATGTTAAGTGTGGTCACAACATTCAACATTCTACAGTTTCAGCTGCACCCTGTCATTATCAGACTCAAAAACTACAATGTTTTCTGCAATTACAGTTTACTGTAATCTCAGTTCATTTTCTCAAGGACCATTCAACATATTTAGATTACTCCAGTAATTACCATGCTACCCAGAAAAACAAGTGAAAAGTTTATTAGGAATTAGATGAAATTAGATGAGGGTGTGGAATGTGATACAGGACAAGTGACACTCAAGGTGGGCAGAAGAGCACTACTCACAAAATTAAGTTTCACTTAAAAAAACAAACAAAAAACCAACCCCCCCAACCCACAAGGCAAAAGAAAGAGTAACTCCATCATTATAAAGATATTTCATGCAAAGCACTTTAAAAAAAAAAAAAATCCCACCAAACCCCAAGCTCCTAATAAACAAAAGGCTACCTGAAAACACTGCCATGCCAGCATATTAACCACAATGGAAAAACAACACAGTAACTAAGCAATGGATTAGATAAAAAAACACAGTTCCTAACACTATAAACTAGACCATGATTTTACATGAAAAACAATTCCAGACTCACTCATAGAGCAACATGGGCTAAGAGTTGAAAAGGTATGTAAAGAAAGACCCCATTAATTAATTTCACTTCATTATACTCTAACTATGAAACCTAGAAGCTTACAGAGCCCGAAAAATTTACATGACATTTGGCATACTCCTTTTGTGCTCCTAGAAATGATTTTAGGGTATCTGTAATTAATAGACCTGTGTAAAAGCATGTTCAGGTCAGGAGGATTTGACCTCTTAAATAATGATCACAATTTACATCACAAAAACAATTCCAGAAATGCATTTAACTCCTAGGACAGCAAACGTGACTTTCTAGTACTTTATGTACATATTTTCGTAAAGGACCAGTGAATTTAGAGATTAACCAAAATATAAAACAAAGGTAAATTGGTACAAAGAATGAAGGGGAATATCTTTATTTACAAAAACTTATGTGGTTAAAAATCTTTCCTTGATTTTGGAGGGAACTGAAGTCAACAAGGAAATGGACTGCCCTCTGCTTGATGCTTGAGCATAGGATCCCTAGAAAAGGCAGTTTTATATTAGAAAAAAGTCAGGAATGGCATTTTATGGGAAAGTAATTTCTTCCACAGCTGCCATACTGAACACAGCCTGGTCACTATGTGGCACACAAGTTGGCCGTGTTATTTCCAAGTGGGGCAGAAGCACCTTGTGCTTGCCTATTTTGGAGGCCACTGAAGACTCATAGACTTACATTTATGCTTCTGGGTTGTGTTTACCTATGATGGACAGATTGGCCATAAATATAAATAAGAAAATAAAAAACTACCTACTCCCACTTGTTATCTCCCTCCCCTTTCAAATTTCAGGTTATCAGAACTGACTGGGAAATTAACGACGATTCCCTTTCTCATGTCTGAAATTTAATTTGCTATTTCCATTCCATGAATGGGAACACTGAGAGTGTTGAGAGTGGGATTAGCCTTGTTGAAAATCAGAGGAGCACTGCTCTGATGTTCAGAATGACATTAGAAGCGTCTCTTGAGTAAAACCCAGAGTTTGAGGCCAGTGAAGGAGTTTCTTTAGCAAACAGTGTCTACTGTATCACAGATAAGAGTTTTTTGGAATGTGTGCTTCACACATACAAAGGTGTTACAAATTAAAGCCCCAGAAGATTCATAAAAATTTTAAATGAGGAAGATTTCTACTGAGAGAGAAATGCTTCCATCAGCAAATTAAACCTGATAAATCAATTGTTCCCCATTAAGTTTCCATTAGCAACTCAACACAGCCTCTGGAATCAAACATAAAGATCACTCAGTCAATGATTCAAGATGAAATACAGATGAGCAATACATATGAAAATACTTTGTAAACCGCTGCAGTTCTAAAACAAATTTATATTACAAAGCAATGTAAATAAATATTGGGCTAGTACAAAAGCTCTTATTTACAGTTTTACAAATGAAATTGTATTCAGTGTAAATGCTGTGTTTTAAAGAACACAGTACTGCATTAGTAAAATGATTCTGTTGAGGGCTACAGTTTTTGTTAGAATCAATGCACAACGTATAAAAGGTTCAAGTTAATTCTGTTTATAATTTAGTACAGACAAACCCAGTTTAACCTGGAATGGCATCTGTTAAAGTGCTGAAAAACAGGAAATACTTAGAAAACACTGTACATTATTAAAGCTTCATCAAGTCAGAATGTTAAACTTCTTTCACATTTTTATCGTTTTCCCACAGGCCTGTAGTCAAGATGAAATTTTTTCCAGCCAAGGAGTAAAATCTAGAGGCCACTGGCTGCTTCAGCAATTTTAGTTTCCAAGGAATTCATCTCCTTAAACAAGAAGCTATCCATCAACCATCCCCTCAGGTCTCACAATCTGGTAAGTTATTAAATATTCAGGATAAGCCTGGAAAAGAAAGATTAATTAAAAATGTTGGTAAACAAATTTTGGCAGTTTATGGTATCCCTGCCTAAGGACATTAGGAAATCTTAGGGGAGTCCCACAGATTAGGCCCATGCAGGGGCACTTTTCCAAACACCCTCCCAGGATTTTAAGCCTTCAGATTCTCACTCAGCAGGCAGGTCTAGGGGAGTATTAAGTACATGTTTGTCTGTTTTTAGCAACTGAGGTAATTCTGACATCTACTCCATTCAGAATGCTGCTCTAAAACAGCTTTTTACCAGGTCTTTGCCACTGAACGCACGAGAATCACACCTTCACTACAGATTTATAAACAAGATTCTGATTAACCACATTTAAGAAGCCAAAAAGGAGAAGATCCAGTAGGATTGACAGAACTTGAATTTAAATATATCAACAGCTTTTATTAATTTTGAAAATTTTAAGACAATGCTATTTTATTTGTAAGTTTTTAATGTGAAGTTATTCCCAAAATAAAATCTCTCCTTTTCTCTCTCTCCCTCTCCCTCCCTCTCTCTCTCTCTCTCTCTCTCTCTCTCTCTCTCTCTCTCTCTCTCTCACACACACACACACACACACACATACACACACACACAGTTAAGGCACCATGCCTCATAAATATGAGCCATACACTTTTGACTATAAAAAAATAAAGCTGAATTACCTGTTCTCCTCTGTAAATAACATATTCTGCTAATGCTAGGCCATTTACACTGGGCCGACCAGTGACTGAGTGATGGCCAGGAGGAGAATGTGCCATTTTCATTGCACTGAATTGCAGGAAAGACTTTCCCAAGGTTACTCGGCAAAAAAGCAGTTGCCTGAAACACAAAAAAGGAAAAGCTCACCCTGAAAACATAACTTGATACACCAACATGAAAAATTCTACTTGCATACATTATAAAGTCTGATGAATGCATCTATATGTGCTGGGCTCCATGGTGTATGACTAGTTCTAATGCTCAGGAGACTGGGGCAGGCAGGAGGATTGCTGCAAATTCAAGGCTAGCCTGGTTTACATAGTAATTCTAGGCCACTCAGGATTACATGGCAAGGCCTTGCTGCTGAAACCGCTCCCTAATGGAATATATTTGTTTTCTGTTTTTCTGAGAGAGGGTCTTACTATCTAGTTTTGGCTGGCCTGGAACTCATTATGTAGATCAGGGTAGCCTGAACTCACAGAAATCCACTTGCCTCTGCCTCCCTAATGCTGGGATTTAAGGTGTGTCTCACCATGTATGACAAAAGAATGGATTTATATAAAAACACTTATGACAGTTTTTTAACATACCACCCTCAAAAGAACTTTGCCTTCTATCATCTTTTTAAATACTTTTTTGCGGTATTAGGAATTAACCCAGGATATCGCAATGATGTTATTAGGCAAGTGCTATATTCTAAGCTCTTAAAAAAATTATAGGACTGGAGAGATGGCTCAGCAGTTAAGAGCACCAGCTGCTCTTGCAGAGAACCCAGGGTCAGTTCCCAGCACCCACACTGACAACCGTCTATAACTCTATAGTTCCAGGGGATCTAATGCCGTCTGTGGCCTCTGAGGGTTTGAGTGTTGAACACATATGGTACACTTACATGCAAGCAAACAATCACACACATATTTAAAAAAAAAAAAAATCTGCCTCTGCCTCCTGAGTGCTTAAAGGTGTATGCTACCATATCTGGCAAAAATTAAAAAAAAAAATTTGGGGGTGGGGGGGCAATGTCTCCTCATGTGGTCCAGGTTGGCCTCAAAGTCATAAGCCCCTTGCTTCAGCTTCCCCATGGGAGCTACTATGCCTAGCTGGACATTTATTCAACTAGTAAGTCCAACTGATTCCATCTTCAAAATATATTCCATTCACTCTAATTCTGCTACCATTAAGTCAGAATCACTAAATTTTTACCTTGATTAGAACAGCTTTCTTCCTACTCACCTTTTCCAGCTTTTACTCACATTTCTGTTCAAAACATTCATCATCTAAGCAATTGGTGATTATAACAAACCAATTATGTCACTTTTTTGGTCTTAAAATCCTTTAGAGAGTCAGGTGTGGTGGCATACACTGTTAATACCAGTGCTTGGGAGGTAGAGACAGTAAGATCTCAGTGAGATGGAGGCCAGCCTGGCCTGGAGCTACAGGGAGATCCAGTCTCAGACCAAAATCAAAACCAACAAAAAAACCCACCAAAAAACCCAAAAAGCCCTTTTAAAGGCTGGTCACTGAATTTAGAAGAAAATCCAAATTCCTTACAATGGCTCCAGTTTCTCTAATCTCATCTGTTTATTAGCCCCAGGCACCTTAATTTTCTCTCTTCACAAAGGTCAAACCTCCATAGTTCCTGGCTTTCATCTAGGCAATTTTCTCTGCCCGATGGAATGGGATCTGTTTTCCCACTCCTGAGTCAGCTGGCGCCTACTCATTTCCCAGGCTTCTGCTGGAAGGCTCACTTCCTCAAGCAGGCCTCCTCTTAGCATCAGCTAAATACAGTTATTAGCCCAGTCCCTTTGGGCATGTGCTTGACTTTCTATAGTTCCAAAGAACCTTTTAGGACTACTTTATTGTTTCTTTCTAGAACAGAAAACAGGAGATTGATGGACCTGCTGATGGCTCTTTTTTTCCAGAAAGGAAGGGTCACATTATTTTTTTAAGTTTGCCCACTGAAGCCTTAGCATTTTCAATAGCATTTCCAATTTCTGCTGTCAAAATCAAGAATAGAGAACTTTTAAGTTAATGGATACAATTCCAAGATAACCAAGTATTGTGTTCCAATGACAGCTTGGGGGAGGTACAAGAACACTGCTTATTACTAATAACCCAACTATTTAGCCTTCAGATCATATATAACAAACCTTGGCAGAATTAAATTTACATAATCTGAAATTACAGGTTTCCTAATCAGTCCAATTTATGACGCAAAACAGAAGTGCCTGGAGGTCATAAAAAGGGACTTAACATCATGTATGGGTATAAACTTAGGGGAAAACAACAGCAATAAGAATTAAATAAACCAGGTATGGTGACTCCTGTCCAATTCTAGCAACCAGGAGGCAGAGACAGGAGGATCATTTTGGGTTTGAGGCTAACCTGGACTATACAGTGAGTCCTAGGATAGCCTGGGATACAGACTGAGCCATATTTCAAACATGCACACCCCATAAAATAGGTCACCATCTATTTCACCCCAGGATTGCAGTTTTTCACCTTGGTACCACATTGAAATCATCTGGAAAGCCTTTACTGCCTAGTTCATACTCCAGACCAAGAAAGAAAGAAAGAGAGGATACAACATTAACTATTAAAGTTCCCCAGTTGATTCAAATGTGCTGCCAAGACAGAGAAGTATTGCCTTAGTATTTTTCTGGGTCAGTGATTACACGAAGCATCACCTAGGAACTTGGTGAACACAAATGCTATATTCTCATTCATTCCTACTAAATATCAATAATGTCAGAAGTGGGGCCCAGCAGTTAAGAGCACTGGCTGCTCTTTGAGAGGACCTAGATTCCGTTACCAGCACCAACATGGTAACTAATAACCATCTATAACTCCAGTTCCAGGCAATCTGATACCGTCTTCTGGCCTCCATTGACTCTGCATGACATGGAAGCACTTACACATGCAGACAAAACATTCAAACATATGAAAAAAAAAAAAAAAAGGAAAAAGATTTACTGGGCTGGAGAGATAGCTTAGCTGTTAAAAGGCTCAGGTTTATAAGCCAAACATCAAACACTAAAAGAAAGAAAAAAAATTTATTGCCAAGCCTGATGGTGCATGCCTTTAATCCCAGCGCTCAAAGCAGATGCAGGCAGATTTCTGAGTTCCAGGCCAGGCTGCCTCCTAAGAAATTAAACACACACCAACCCACCTCCCCCCCGCAACCAAACAACAGTTCTCCATCACAAAACCAAAAAACAAACTTATTTTATGTGTAGGAGTTTTTGCTTGCACCTATGTGCACCATATGTATGTTTGGTGGCTGTGGAAGCTAAAAGGGAAATAGATTCCCTGGAACTGGAGTTACAGGAGATTGTGAGCTGCCACGTGCGTACAGGGAACCAAAGCCAGGTCCTCTGCAAGAGCAGCCAGTCCTCTTAACTGTTGAGCCATCTTCCCAGGCCCAGTAATGTGTACCTTAACAAATCTAGGTAACTCTGATAAATCATAAGACTTGAAAAATACTGCTCTAGATCTTAATTATCAGGGCCTTAAATGTAGAATAATACTTAGGAATTAATGTTACTTGATTTCTCAAATGGCAAAGAAGGAGGGGCGGGAAATCCAAGAGTTATTTGATAATTATTTTCTAAAGAGAATAAAGCATTTAAATTATATCTCTTATAATATTAGAAACTGAGGATTAGGGTACTGTCACACTCAATCAGGAAATTACTATAAAATTATTTAACTGGGCAACTAGTAACATTTTTTGTGGTGCTGGGTATTGAACTCAAAACCTTGTGTTTACTAGGGTTTTGTATTTCATTGTATCCCTAGATCCCAATTTTGAGATTTTTGGAATCTACAGGTTTGCAATATTCAAGTCTCTTTTCATGCCCAATGTTATCTTCTGTACAGCAGGTGTGTGAGTGTTTAAAGACTGGGTCTAGTTATGTTGCCTTGAACTCTAGCTCCCACTTCATTCTTCAGCACGGTTTGGCTACATGTATGCACTACCTTGCTGGTTCTTCTCAGCATTCTTTATGAAACTATCAAGTAATAATGAGTACGAGTTAAACAGGTTAAATGCTCAGAATCATGCTGGCCTATTCAGATCATTTAGTAAGTATTAACTATTATAAATTGTTAAGACCAAAAGCAGCTGAAAACAGTTATCAGGTATGCCTTGCCTCTCAAATATGTTACCAGTTCTTATCTAATCACCATCAAAATCAGTAAGAAGTGATCTCTTACCTGTGGCAAATGTAACAAGATCTGTCTTTGTGAATGGGACACCCAGTACCGCCTCCAATTCCATATACATATTGATTGCTTTTGGAAGAATTTTCAGCAAAATAAATCCCAGCTCCAAACATGCCACCGATGTACGCATGCCTTTCATCAAAGCCCTTATGGATAATTGCATTCACAAAAGGAGACCCTAAAATGCATACAGATAGGAAATAAAAAATTGTCGTAGAAGAGAAAACAAACTAAAGGCCCTGTCTGAGAAGTTAACTTATTCCTGAGGTGGTAGAGATCAAACCCTGGGCCTCATGCAGGCTAGTCAAGTGTTGAGGCACACACTCAGCCTAGATATTAAATTCTTGACTATAAACCACCACCGCCACAATAAAGCTAGAATAAAAAATGGGAAGCACGTTAACTGTCATCTGGCTTGCTGTTTTTGGAATAAAGACTTCCTAATGTCAATTAATGATTCCAAAAGAGTGGTGGTTCAGGTGCCAAATTAAGGACAGATAAAACAAAATAATACAGATCACTTGAAATGATGCAATAGTTATCAAATATACAAATCCAGAGCTGAAGAGTGTCACAGTTCACCACATACGGCAAGGCTGAATGCAATTAGGTCTTGCAATGATTCTTGTTATCTATATATTTTTTCTGATACCAAAAGTGGCCCAAGAAACCTGCCATGTTTCTTCTCTTCCTTGTACCTCTTTCTCTTCTATCCTTCCACTTCTCATCACTTGCTGTATGTAGAAGATTCCATCTGTAAATGCAACTTTACTTTCAAGCATGCTAAAAGAGGCTTAGTCAAAAAGGAGGTACTGAGCACAAAATTAGGCTAGCAAGTATAGTAAGGGCTGGTTGGGAAAACCCAAATGAACAGAGTTAAGTGATTTACCAAGACCTGTGTCCTAATCATCAAGGGAAAGGGGTATATATTGAATTCTAGTTTATGGAAATAAGGAAAACAGAACATTTTTAATTAACCTGAAAAAAAAAAAAAACCCATCCTAAAACATGAAAACAAAACAGAAAAACAAACCTTCATGGCATGTGCATATAATTCTAACATTTGGGAAGTGGAGGCATGAGGATCAGAAGTTCAAGGTCATCCTCATCTACACAGTGAGTTCACTGTGAGTGCTTAAACAAACAACACAACCAATTCATTATAATCATGTTAATAATTACCGTACCATGTGCCATTAGATTATCATGATAACATTTTTGGGATTTAGAATGAGCAGTAATATATAATAAATATGGTGCTCTCCACTGGGCATGGTGGCACACACCTTTAATCCCAGCACTTGGGAAGCAGACGCAGTTCCAGGAGTGTTTTCAGTAACTTCTACAGATCCAATAACAGACCTCTGAACATAGAAGGAAGCTGGAACTGAAGAGATGGCTCCACAGTTAAGAGCACTTGCTGTTCTTGGAGAATATCCAGGTTCAATTCCCAGCACCCACATAAGGTGGCTCACAACTGCCTGTAACTCTAGTTACTGGAGTTCTGATTCCCTCTTCTGGCTTCTATGGGCACCTGCATACACGATGCAATATATGGACAAGCAGTGACAGAAGAGAATGCATGGTCTTCAGAGATGATTTAGACCTTATTTTAGTCCAATCAACTAGTTAAAAGCAAAATACAACTTTCAAGCTGGGCGTGGTAGTGCATGCCTTTAATCCTAGCACTCCGGAGGCAAAGGCAGGTGGATCTCTGTGAGTTCAGGGCCAGCCTGGTGTACATATTGGGTTTCAGGCCAGCTGGGGCTACAGGGAGACTGTCTCAAAATGACCAAAAAAATAAAAAAAACAAACAAACAAAAAACAACTTTCAGAATGATCTGACAGCAAATCTATGTGCAGACAAAAAGGAACAAGCAGTTAGCATTCTCAGTTCTATGTTCTTTCCCATTGCAGTAATCTTTGACCAAAAAACATTTATCTTATTGTGTGTCTATGCAAGTGTGTCACAGCATGCATTTCAGGAGTCAGTTCTCTCCTTCCATTGTGGAATCTGGGGATCATCAGGCTTGTGTGGCAAGCCTTTTACCCACTGAGCCATCTGTAGGCCTCCATTTGGTAATGATAATTTATAAAAATGTTCATTATAAGATATATAAATAGCCAGGTGTGGTGGTGCACACCTTTAATCCCAGCACTTGGGAGGCAGAGGCAGGCAGATTTCTGTGAGTTCAAAGCCTGGTTATTTTGATATATCACAGTGAAAGATTTATCGTCCTCTTTTTTTTTTTTTTTTTTTTTTTAAAAAAAAAAAAAAAAAAAAAAAAAAAAAAAAAAAAGGTATATAAATAAGTCTAAAAGAAATAAAAAACCTTAAATGTCAGTTACAGAAATATTAGCTTCACTAAAAAAATAAAGTAGAACATACATATTTGTTATTTCTTTCTACCTGCTAATATCTATCCTAACATGGAAGAGGACAGTGTTTCAGAGTCTCACCATGAAATAACATTCTCTCATTGGCATGGTTGTGGTTTTCTTCAGAAACTTCTTTTCTCCGGTGCGTGTATCTTTCCCACAGTTTCTTGTTACAAACCTTCTGAATCTATAAAAATCAGAAACATCAAATAACACTTTCATCTTAACTGAAATACCTCATATTTAGCTAGAAGGGACCTTTTTTGAGATGTAAAGTATGTATTAATTTAGTCAACTAAAAATGAACTGTCTTAATCATAAGGTTTGAAATACAACTGCATCTCAGAAATTAAAATTTTTGGGTCAGTGAGATGGCTCAGCAGGTAAAAGTGCTTACTGAAAAGCTTCCTGATCTGAGTTTGATCCCCTGGAACCCACATGGTAGGAGAACTGACTCCCACAAGTTGTCTTCTGATCTCCACAAGCATGTAGTGGTGTGAACATGTACACACACACACACACACACACACACACACACACACACACTTCCAAAGAGAAATAGGTTATAGATGAAGGGGTCAGAATATTTGAAAGCTGATTAAAATACTTAAATTTAAAAATTATTTAAAATCCAAACCATTAATTTTTATTATTACTAAAACCCCCCAGATATGTTAAAGTCTGTATAGAAGCATTAGAAAGTATCCCCCTCCTCGGACCTTATTTGACTCAAAGAAGCATCTTACTCTGTTTTATTTATTTATTTTGGTCTTTTTGAAACAGGGTTTCCCTGTAGCCCCAGCTGTCCTGGAACTCGCTATGTAGACCAGGCCGGCCTTGAACTCACAGAGATCTGCCTGCTTCTGCCTCCGAGTGCTGGGATTAAAGGCATGCGCCACCATGCCCGGCTATTACTCTGTTTTTAATAATACGTTAGAAATAGCCACCTCTCTTGCCCACTTTTCACATTCCAGTCCCTATAATACTTGTCTGGAGAAGATTTAAAGATGCTGGTCTCATTAGGACTATCTTTGTGGTCAAAATGGACAGTCTCTTGGTGGTTCCTAGAGAGTGGGAACTGGTAGTTTTAGGTGGCTCAAAATAACAAAATATTGCCATAGATGTAATCAAGGACCATAGTTGGCACAGACTGATCTCATTCGTGAAATAAAATAGGAACCAAAATAAAGACATCTTCATCACTGAAAAACATTTTTTCATTAAATATTGTATTAAAATATCTTTGAGGGAGAAAACAGCATCTTCTTCAACTGATCCTTTTTACTTGAGTAATGTGTTCTAAATCATCTGATTTCTGATAGTACAATCACAGTAGGCTAAATGAAATTTCTGTGTTCACTAACCCTAAAAGATGAGTCTAGTATATTCATAATGGCATACTGATCCTGTTCAATAAATTTAAAACTTATGTTAGAGGAAGACTAGAAGTTCAGCTGCCACAAACCAACTCTAGCCATGTCCTTTTATAATTAGTAAGAACATCAATACAGCTAACACAAAGTCATCATGTTTCTAGTATGGTGTGAAGTTTTGATTGCTATAGTTTTAGAAAAACACTGCAACTTTGGACAAAGACCCTGAGAAGAGTAACTGAAATCAGTTAAGGTGCTGTGGCTTTCACAGTATGACTTAAAACATTTTCTTTTGTTGTTTTGCTTTTGAGACAGGGTCTCATTATGTGTTCCAGGCTGGCCTGGAACTTACTTTGTAGATCAGGCTGGCCTCAAACCCACAGAGATCTACTTTCCTCTGTCCCCAAGTGTGGAGATTAAGGGTATGTGCCACTAGGCAAAACTGGTTTTTCTTTTTGGTCTTTTTGAGATAGGATCTCCCTGTAGCCCCAGTTGGGCTGCAATTCCCTACGTAGACCTGGCTGGCCTTGAACTTACACAGGTCCACTTGCCTCTGCCTCCTGAGTTCTGGGATTAAAGGTGTGTGCCACTATGCCCAGTTTGCAAAACAGTTTTATAAGTGGTTTTTGGAAAAGCTAGCATGTCTGGGAACTCTCAGGAAATGTAGTCCAAGGCATGAAGCCATGCTTGGGGGCACACATGTAATACAAGAGAGACTGAGGCAGGAGATCAGTTGAGACCAAGGGTTTTAGACCAGCCTGGCCAACAAGCTGAGACACCAACAACAATAAAATGATACTACTATAAGTCTACAAATCATAAAGAAACAGCATTCTTAGAGTACTTTAGTAGTACTTTACATATTTAATGTAAACCTATAGGATTTACCTTTATCCCAAGATAAAGCATAGCTTCCAAGCTTGAGTATGTTCAGTGAAGGATGAATTATTGATGGGTTAGTAAAACAGGACAAGGAGCTCTGAGTGGAGTCACACTTGAGAGGCTGAGGCAAGAGGCCCACAGATTCCCTGCTAGCCTGGGCAGAGAGTGAGACCCTGTCTGAAAACATAAAGTAGCAGGCTTTGGAGGAGTGTAACTTTCTACAGATTTAGTCTTCTATATCCTCAATAGTCTTCGGTGCCTGCCATATCAAAGAGTCACTGGGTTGGACAGATCATTATGTTTTTATCAAAGGTACTATGGCTTTAGGTTTTATTTTCCACACTTTTATTACCTTGAGAATGTTGTATCTGTTGAAGATTCCACCTGCATGGCCACCATCTCTGTGCTCTCGGACTGTACTCTGCATCTGATGGAAAAAGAATTTAAAATACATACATTAGTTTAGTACATTTAGGTTTAGTATGAGGAACATAGTCTTGATTCATCTGGTTCCATTTCTGAGACTGCAAGATTGGCTTTAACATTTTCTTGAAAGGATATGAATTTTAGAAATTCATGTGTACTATCTTCTAGAGATAACTTAAGTATCCTGAAAACAAGAGTTATAAATGAAAAGTATATAATGTAAACTAAGAAAAAAGAAGAGACTGCAAGTGTGTTAAGCATACAAAACTAACCACATGACATAACTAAAAAGCAAAACAGAGCTATCTGTGCTCACTGATTTTAGCTTAATAAAGCATAGTGACTATTTCCTTCAGAATTGGGAATTTTTTGAGTTTCAGAACTAAGTCTTGCTAAACTTTGTATCTGTGCTCAATTCACACACACAGGGCATGTGTACCTCAAAGTATAAAGAGTCAAAGATTACAATGGATTCAAGAATTCTTTGGAAAGAATACTAGAATAAAAATTTCCTGAATAAACACTATGGACATGCTGGGTCTTGTCTGAGATTCTATTCTGTAACTGCCTCATGAAGAGTGAATACCAGCATCCATTTTCAAATTACAGCAGCCTACTCTCCAACAAAACTCTGTCAGCATTAATTTCAATACTGAAATTAAGCATCTGAAATTAAGGTTTATTGAGGAATATATTACAAATATCTCTAAAAGTTTCCAAGTGGTGAAAAGCTAATAATAATAATAAAAAAAAAACAAACCATAATGCATGTCAAATAAACAGAGAAACTTCTAGGAAACTCAGCAATGGAATCAAAAGCACACACAGTTGGATCTGGCTTGTTTATTTACTTAAGGCCTATGAACATACCTCTTCCTCCACAGACTGAAATTCTTTATCATCAGGAGATAGATCTATGAGAATTGTTCCACTACCAGAGCTGTTTAGAGTTAAATATGGATTAAGACCTATGAAATGAAATTTGAAGGTTAAAAAAAACCTTGCTAATAAGTACCAACCAAAATTAATCATCAAATCTATCTGTTTACCACTAATTGCAAAACCATTAAATTTTACAGTAATGTATTAGATTCATAGGAAGGCTGAAAGTACATATATGCTACTTCATATACATAATTATAACTGTCAAAATATATTAATTAATATAGGCGTTATTTGGATTTCATTGTTTTTTTTTCTGTTAATGTTTTTTTACTCTTCCAGTATTAAAACCAGGATACCACACTACATTCAGACTAATCCTTTTTCTTTTTGGTCTTTTTGAGACAGGTCTCCCTGTAGCCCCAGCTGTCCTGGAACTATGTGGACCAGGCTGGCCTCACAGAGATCCACTTGCCTCTGTCTCCCAAGTGCTGGGATTAAAGGTGTGCACCACCATACCTGGCTTTCAGACTAATACTTTTTAAAAAATATTGTTATGTGTATGAGTGTTTGCTTGCATGTATACATGTGGACCACATGTGAACCTGTTGCCTAAGGTTAGAGGAAGGTGTTGAATCCCCTGGCATTAGATTTATGGATGGTCATGAACAGCCATGTGGGAGCTAGGAATTGAACCTGGGGTCTTCTGCAAGAACAGCACATGCTCTTAATTACTGAACTATCTTTCTAGCCCCTTCATTATTATTTTTTTAAAGTGTGTATCTGTGTGAATGCATGTGCACCTATCTATGTGGATGAATGTGCCTGTGTGCACAGAGGCCAGAAGAGGCATAAGATCACTCAGAGATAGAGTTAGAGGCATTTACCCAGCCTCTTATGTGGGTTCTAGGGTCTGAACTCCAGTTCTCGTGATTGTACAGCAAGCACTCTTAACCACTGAGACATCTCCGAGAGTCCATCCTCCACATTCCTTCTCCAACTACTAATTTTCTGTTTTGTTTCTTTTGTGGCAGAATTTTACTATGTAGACCTGATTTGCCTGGACCTCACTATGCAAGCTGAGATTAAAGGCATGCACCACCAAGCTCCACTGTAATACCATTTTAAGGAATTCCTTAAGTTTAAATCACCTAAACTTTGAGAGTTTTTTTTTTTCCTTTAAGGAGTGGATGTCTGGGGCTCAGGGGTTAAGAGCACTTGCTGGTCTCGCAAAGGATCGAGGTTTAGTTTTCATCACCCACAGGGTGGCTAACAGTTTGTAAACTCCAATTCCTAGGGATCTGATGCCCTTTTCTGGCCTCACAAGGCACTGCATGCACATGACACACTTATATTCAGGTGAAATATTCATAAACATATAAAAGTCAATAAAATATAGCAACAAATAATTTAGAAAGAAAAAAAGTGGATCTTATTCTGGCCACTATACATTTTCCTCTGAAAAATTCCTTCAACCCCAACTGTACGACCAGAACTTTTTATAAAAATGCTTTTAAAAATAATTATTTATAGGCTGGAGAAATGGCTCAGTGGTTAGGAGTGCTGGTTGCCCTTACAGAGGACCTGGGTTCAGTTCCCAGCACCCATATGGAAACTAGCAACCTTTTGAAAACTCCAGTTCCAGGGGATCCAACACCCTCTTCTGGTCTCCCATGGGCACTGCATGCATGTAGTGCACTTACACATGCAGGAAAACTCATACACATCAAAAATAAAAATAAAAATAAATCTGTGATTTCTTTTAGTGTACCAAGTGGCAGGCTTCATTTTAGCTTTTCCATACTACTTTCTTATTTACTTGACTGTATTGACTGTACTGCCTTCCCTTGTTTCCCTCCTCACCTCTTTCTTCTGCTTTTATGTAATAGGGCTCCCACTACCCTCTTGGTTCCCCTTTCCCTTGTTTCCATTCTTCTCACAGTCACCTTTCTGATTTTTTGTCTTTTTGAGACAGGTTCTTCCCTCTAGCCCCAGTTGGCCTGGAACTCACTATGTAGACCAATTTGGCCTTGAACTCACAGAGATCTGCTTGCCTTTGCTGGGATTAAAGGTGTGTGCCACCATACCAGGCTTCATCTTTCTACCATCATCTCACACACAGACACACAGACACACACACACACAAGTGAATGCTTGTGCATGCGAGCACACAAATGTAAATCTGATTCCATATAAGAGAAAATATGGTATGTATAAGAGTCTGGCTTATTTTCACTTAACATAATGATTTTCATTGCCAGCCATTTTCCTGCAAATGTCACAATTTCATTATCGCAGCTGAATAGTATTCCACTGTGTATATGTGTATATTTTATCCATTTGTTGATGGACAGCTAGGTTGGTTCTATTTTCTAGTTATAGACAGTACAGCTATACAAGGACATGCAAGCCTCTCTGTAGTATGCTGACCTGGGAGTCCTTCAAGCATATACCTAGGAGTGGAATAGATAGATCACATGATTATTATGTTTAGCTTTACTGATCTTCACAGTGGCTGCCCTAGTTCACATTCCCACCAGCAGTGTGTAAGCATCAGGGTAAATCACTATTTTAGTTTAACAATGACACTTTGACACTTAATTCACCTTTTCAACCCAGATCTGGTATAGAGAGGTATTAACATCTTTTGAGTGAATAAAATTTGCATTTTCAGCTACATTAAGGGAAAAATAAAAATATTAAACAACTTTGTTTTATTTTCTATAGTTGCAACATCATTGTTTTCCAGTATTTTCATTCAATGTGGTTAGAATTCAGCTATTTAAGACATTTACTACACTATTTTACAGTCTGATACCTAATCAGTATCTATTATGCTAGTGTAAGAAATGAGATAATTATGTTTCAGATTTTTTAAAAATATTTTATTTATTATTTTCATTTTATGTGTATGAGTGTATTGCCTGCATGTATGTTGAGTGCACCCGTGTCGCGCAATGCCTCGGAGGTCAGAAGAGGGCTTCGGATTTCCCTGGAACTGGAGTCAAGGACGGTTTGTAGCCGCCATGTGGGTGTTGGGAATCGAACCCGGGTCCTCTGCAAGAGCAGTCAGTGCTCTTAACCACTGAGCCATCTCTCCAGCCCTATGTTTCAGTTTAAAAAAAAAATTATTTATTACTATGTATTTTATTTTATGTGTATAAGTGTATTGCCTACATATGTAAGTGCACCCATGTCCTGCAATACCAGAGAAGTGGGCATTAGATCCCTCAGAACTGGAGTTAGGGACGGTTCTTAGCTGCCATGTGAATGCTAGGATCTGAACCTGGGTCCTCTGCAAGAGCAGCCAGTGCTCTGAGCCATCTCTCCAGCAGCCATGTTTCAGATCTTTTAAAAGAATAACATTTTAGAGTTATAATAAATTCATGAATTATATCTGCCTTTTCATTTTTATACTCAAATCTGCATGGACCAAGTTTTCCTTAGGTTCATATAATTAACAGTAGTAGTTCCAGGAAGTTAACTGTTAAGCAGAGGCCTTATCTCAGGTGTTCCAAATCCTAGTTAGTGACCTTTCTATTAAACAGATCCTTTCATAGAGATTTAAAAGTATTATACTGAGGGCAATCTTTATATGAACTGTTAACCAATTATTAAAACAAAATACCTTGCTGTCCAGAGATAAGTCTTTCAACTCCTTTAATTAGTTTGTGTCGATGTCCGTAAGCATTGATTCCAATCTCTTTCAGCTCCTTGTGTCCCATCTCAACTAACACATCCAAAGTAATCTTATAAAGAAAATGAAATTATTTAGAATGCTTACTCATTTGGCAGATAGTCATTATTGGCATTCTCATAATACTAGACTTTTATTTCATATTATACTGAACAGCTTTGATAGGAAAACAAATCATTTGTTAACTAAAAATTGAAAGTTGGAGCAAAACAGAAAATTGAATCATAAATGCCCTTTCAAATTAACTATATTTGGAAACACCCTCCATCCTTTCAACTATCACTGTATACCCAACCTTTTAAACAGAGTCTTTCCATGGTTCCTCCAGTGTTTGGACTAGGACTATGCTAAGTGGTACCACTGCATCACTACTCAAATTAATTCTTTCACCTAAAATACATTATTCCCACTTCATTAAATTTAATCTATCAATTCTGCTTTATTTATAAACTTTCTATAAAGGTAACCCTAAACGTTCCACTTCACATTCTAAAATCTGTCAAACCTTAACTTTAATGTTTTTGTTCCAGCTCCGTAACTAGATTGCAAGTTCCTTTGGGTTCAAGTCTACAATCATTGTTTTTTTTCTGAGCAACAACCAACTTAGTACATGTATTCTGACAGAATATAAACTGTGACTACCTAGAAAAGTCAGATAAGTGTATGTATGACTAGCTATCCACATATGTCTGTCCACAAAAGCTGGCAAAATGCCAGGCATAGGGAGGGTAGTGACTGAAACAATACAACTGAATAGCTCAAAGATAATTTAAGAGCTGAATTGGGTAACCATGTTATTTGAAAAAGCTATGCTACTAATATGTATCAGTCAATTTTGAGATATAATGAACTAAGTGAAGATTCCAAAATCAAGTAAAATCAGAAAATGATTCATTTCCAGTCTCTTAACACTCTCAGAGCTAAAGCACACTCATACTGGCAACAGCGTGCCTAGCATGCAGGAGACCCTGTGTTTAGTACCCAGCACAAACCAAACAAAAACCCAGTAAAAACATTCCCCACCTAGTAGCTTATGAGGGTTGGACAATTTCAAGCATGTTCCTTATTTTTTTTTTTGAGTTTCTATGAAACACTAAACCAAGCCAACACAATTAATCTACTCACCTGTTCTCGCTCAAATATATCCATTAGGTGCTCAAGTCCAAGATTCCTTACGAACTGAGTTATGCTAAAATCTACTCCTGGATCTGGGAGGAGGGAAATCCAGAACAAAATTTAATGCATATTAGCACTACAAAAATAAAATTTTGTTGATATTACTACATATGTGAAGAAAGTAACAATGAAGCGAAAATACTAACAGTTCAGACAGAATACTATGTAATATCAAAAATTACAAAGGGGGGCTGGAGAGAGAGCTCAATGGTTAAGAGCACTGACTGCTCTTGTAGAGGACCTGGGTTCAATTCTCAGCACCCATATGCAGTTAAAAACTTCCTGAAACTCCAGGGGAGCCAACACTCTCTTCTGACAACTGTGAGAATTGTATGACACAGGTGCACTTATATGCATATAGGCAATACACTCATACACATAAATAAAATATTAAAAAAAATTACAAAGAGGGGCACTGGAGAGATCAGCAGTTAAGAGCACTGACTATTCTTACAGCACAGCACCCGCATGGTGGCTTACAACCTTTTGTATCTCCAGTTCCAGGGGATACAATGACCTCTTCTGACCTCTGGGGGCACTGTATGACACAGGTGCACTTACATATATGCAGCCAACACACTCACATACATAAAATAAAAAATAATGTAACTATTTTTAAAACTTACAAAGAGAAGGCTTGGTGTAATGGTACATGCCTTTAATCTCAGCACTTTAATAAGGCAGAGGCAGGTGGATCTCTGTGAGAGTGAGGCCATCCTGGCCTACATAGTGGGTTCCAGGCCAGCTGAGGCTACAGGGAAACCCCGTTTCAGAAAACAAAACAAAACAAAACACAAGAAAAATTCCACAAAAATCCAAAACCCATCAAAATAAGAGAATCCTATAAAATTTCAACATTAGAGAAAAACAACTAATCCATGGGGCATTCTCAGATTAAAAATTTTCTCCTTTTTTTCACGTTAAACTTTTTAATCTCTCAAGTTCCTTTACACAAAATTTATGAAAACAAGTTTTACCTCATCATACAGAGTAAGACCAATTTTAATAGGGAAACGTTTACATCTAAATAGCAGGGCTGGTGAGATGGCTTAGAAGGTAAAGACACTTGCTGTGCAAGCCTGATACCTTAAGTTCAAGCCATGGGACCTATTTAGAGGTGGAAGATAACAACTGACTCCACAAAGTTGTTCTCTGACCTCTACATGCATGGCATGGCACAAGGCCTTCCCCACCAAGCACACCCACACTAAAAATAATAAAGTAAATAAATAAAATAACAAGTTAGTAAAACCATGCTCATCAACTTTTTTTTTGGTCTTTTTGAGAGAGGGTCTTACTTGTAGTCCCAGCTTGGGGAGAACTCACTATGTAAACCAGATGGGCCTTGAACTCACAGAGATTCTCCTGCCTCTGCCCCGAGTGCTAGGATTAAAGGCGTGTGCCACAATACCTGCCACTCATCAATGTTTGACCTGAGAGTTATAAAGCTATTTTTACAAAATCTCTTACCTTCCTTTCTTTCCAAACTGGAAGCTCCTTCTGTTCCGCTTGAACTAACTACTGAAGACAGCTCAGAAAAGCTCCCTGATAAGTTGTCAAGACTGCTGGCTGCAGAGAGGCTTGATGGGCTCGATGGACCTGAAGACAGAGCGTCTGAAGTGGTGCCTGGGCTTCTCACACCATTGAGCACTTGCGGTTTATAGCAGGAAGGTAGAGCAGAAGGAGGCATGGCTGCTGTCAAGAGTGCACTGACATCATCTGCCTAAAACACATTTCAAGGAGATGAAATCTGTTGTAAGCAAGGTTTCAAATTCTTCTGTGCTTGATAAAATGCAATAAAAACTACGGCAGAACCCAGAAAAAGTGCACTAGGTCTATTATTATGTAATACTGATTTTATTTATGAGTATGAGTGTTTTGACTGCATGTACATAACTGTATCCACGTGTATTCCTGGTGTCTGCAGAGGCCAAAGGGTGCATTGGATCCCCTGGAACTGGAGTTAGGAACGGGTGTTAGGTGCCATGTGGGTGCTAGGAACCAAACCCAGGTCCTCTTGAGACAGGGTCTCCCTGTAGCCCCAGCTGTCCTGGAACTCACTATGTAGACCAGGCTGGCCTTGAACTCACAGAGATCTGCCTGCCTCTGCTGGGATTAAAGGCGTGTACCACCACGCCCAGAGCCAGTGCTTTTAACTGCTGAGCCATCTCTCCAGCTCTAATACTTGATTATTTTAAAAGTGAAGTAAACAAGGATGATACTCAGCTAAAATGTCACTAAATATGAAATAGTCCAGAATATCCTTTCCAGATCACATAATGAAAATAACACTGTTATATATGGCAAAGCACTATGAACAAAACCCTAATTTTGATATGATTAAATAAGCACCAAAATGAATGACAAAAATACCATTTTGAAAGATAAGAGCTTTCAACCGTTTTACAAATTAACTCTGAAATAAGTAATTAACCTGTATAGAACTTTAGCAGACAGAATTATTTGTATTTCTTAGAAAATAGTGATGTATTTATTCCTCAAAACTGAGAAGAAAACCTTTTTGCTGGAAAGAGATAAATCTGATTAAGCCTGATGACTTGAATTAAATTCCTAGGACCCATATGGTAAGAGAACAGACTGCTAAGAGTTGTTCTCTATCCATATGCATGCATCAACATGTGTGCCCTCTTCTCCAATCAATAAAATAGGCAAAAAAACTAAGTAAATTTCAGTAAGTCAGTTACAGTGTTGACACCAATCCTCACCTTGCTCTTCTTCCTCAATGTGTATAATCTCTCAACAGTTATAGCTTGTATATAATATTTATTTATATATATTTCTATTTTAGGTATTTTTAAAATTAGGTGCTTTAAATATTTTATTTTTATTTTGTGTGTATGCATGTATTGCCTGTCTGTAGGTAAGTGCACCTGTGTCGTGCAATCCCTGTGTAGAACAGAAGAGGCTGTCGGATCCCCTGGGACTGGAGTTATGGAGAGTTGTTAGCTGCCATGTGGGTGCTGGGATTCGAACCCAGGTCTTCTGTAAGAACAACCAGTGTTCTTAACCACTGAGCCATCTCTCTAGCCCCAGAAAATTAGGTACTTTAAAAAAACCTGAAACCATCTAAAAACTTTAGATTTATTATCTTGTTTAATCCTCTTGTTAACCAGACATATTTTATCCCTTATTGATGATGCATCTAAGGCTAGGCAACTTGGAAGACTATACAACTCTAAGTGGTAGGGATGGAGTGGTAGGTCAGGCCTGCTTCACTCTAAAGCCCATGCATGCTTTCTTGATCTCAAAAACAATCTTTTTAACTCTGTGTGTATATGTACAAATTCATGTGAATGTGGACACACGCATGTGCTGGAATGCACATAGAGGTCAGGGGGACAGCGTTAGGTGTTGGTTGTCCTCACCTTTGATCTTGAGACAAGGTTTATTACTGTGATCCAGGTTAGCTGGTCTGAGAGCTTCCAGGGATTCTCCTGTCTCTGCTCCCCATCTCTCACAGATGTTTACATGTCTAGTTTTCATGTGGGTTCTGGGGACATGAGCTCAAGTCCTCACACCTGTGTGCAAGTGCTTTACCCATTTGTCCATTTCCTTGGGTCCCAGGCATGTTCTCTATAGTATTTTGTTTTCCTTACCACTATACTGTATCTGGTGATTCAACATTGGGTAGAATGAATTCTAAATGGTTACTTCTACATCAGCTTGAAACTAAAAAGACATTTCCCTGAAGAAATCCAGGTGTAAATACAGTTTGGCAGTCAGCTTGCTGAGGAAGATCTTTTTAAACCCTGAATGCAGTGGAACTAAATTAGTTTATATAATCTCTCAGTAGAAGACACTATCTTTCCCATCTCAAAGTCTCTACCACAGTGTGGAAGCACATGCCTGCAACCCCAGCACTTAGGAGGCCAGTCAGGAGTAAGACCCTGTCTCAAAAAAACCAGAGGAAAAAAGCTTCTCTTTTACTTTACGTTACTACTGCAGTCAATGTTCTCAGTGGGAGAGTAAAGAAAACACCACTGTCACAGTGACCAAAGCAGATGTGGGAGCTACAAAGGAGGCTCCTTCATGAGCTACAGTGGGAAGAGAAGGAAAAGGAAGTAACTGGTTTACTTTACAGATCTTTTTGAAAAAATGTTTATTTTGTGTGTGTGCATACATGTGCCAAGTTGTACATGTAGAGGTCAGAAGATAACTTGTGGTAACCAGTTCTCTCCTTCCACCATGAGGGTACCAAAGTCAAACTTAAGTGGACAAGCTTGGTGGCAGGCACCTTTACCAGCTGATCCATCTTGCTGGTCCTCATGAGCAGCTCCAGTGGAGTAAACAACAATATTGAGAGGAAGCAGAGAGAAAGGAAAAGGAATCTCTGCTAGTGGCAGGCTTTGTGATGCACCATGACGGCAAGGCACATAACTGGGGAAGTTAGGAAGGCCCACAGTCTATTTTATCTTGCCATTTGTAGCAGCACTTACAGAGGGTCTGGACCTGTTTTGTTGCCCAACTCTTCTAATTAGTTTTAGTCCCATCTCCAAAGTACTTAGTACATAGTAACTTATTAATAACTCTATTACTTATCAAAATACCAAAGAATTTCTAAATTTTAATTTGGAATAAAGCAATATGCACCATGAAGACATTTTATATATAATCATGTAAACTTTAAAATGCCAAGAAAGCACTAAGATTTTTTCAAAAAGCCCATCACTTACTGAAACTAAGTCTAAAGGTGTTTGTCCTTCTTGATTTTTAAGAGTAGGATCAGCTCCGTGGGCCAACAATAAAGCACAAAGCTGTGTTCGTCCCTTTTGGGCTGCTTCATGTAACGGTGTGAAAGCCCATTTGTCTGTGGCATTGACGCATGCATTGTACTTTATTAGTAAAGCTGCTACGTCTACATGCTGTAAAAGAAAATATTCCTGTTACAGCTGGAAATAGCTTATTACACTTTAGTTCTTTAGAAATTTGCTCTGTACCTATCCCCATATTTTCAAACTTACTCTGAAAATGAGGAGTAAAACTATTCTTCCTATTACTGTAATTTATGAGTAGTTGCTTTAAAATTACAGTTCAGAAAATAACTTAATACAACTCTTTTCTTTTCTTTTGGTCTTTTTGAGACAGGGCTTCCCTGTAGCACCAGCTGGCCTCAAACTCACAGAGGTCCTCCTGCCTCTGCCTCCCAAGTGCTGGGATTAAAGGCGTGCACCACTACATTCAGGAACTTGATACAACTTTAATGATTTCTAACTAATTCTTATAACTGTGGAGTATCAATTTACAAACTAGAAGCCTCCCACAATTATTCAAATTATATGACTGACAATGGCCAATACTGACCAGAATGTTCAGGGCTGTTAGAAGTCAAGAACAATGTGCCTGAATCTCCAAAGATTCCTATGAAACTCTACGTGTTTTCTGGCCATGAAAAAAATAAATCAACATCTCAGTGAAAGAGATAGATAATAAAAAAGACAAAAAAATGTTGTCATGCCACACAGCAACTTATTTAACTTCATATTTAATTCTTTGTGAACCAAGAAAGCCAAACTAAACTCTACGTGATACTGAGGCTCATTCTGAAAAATCACATAGATTTTAAAGGTAACACAGAACTTACCCCATATGATGCTGCATTATGTAAAGGAATAAGTCCTCCTTTGTCTTGGGCATTCACATCAGCTCCATGTTGCAATAAATACTCTGCAACTTCCAAATTATTATAGCCAGCTAATTTAGAAAAAAAAGTAGTATTACTTTTGCTTACAAATGTAGAAAATATCACATATTAAGTATATGGCTATGTATGAATATAAATACATATTCCTAAAATATAAATTTTAAATAAATCTGAAATTCTGGAATCTATTAACATTTACCTTCTGGAAAAAAATTTCCTACTGGCTTAAAACATTAGAAGCTTTGGTGATGATACCCATTGGTTTTGGAGACCTACAAATTATATAATTTTCTTTTTTTTTAAAAAATTGATTTTTAAAATATTGTTTTATGTGTATGAGTTTAAGTACATCCATGTCGTGCAATGCCTGTGGAGATCAGAAGAGGGTGTTGCCTCCCTGGAACTAGAGTTAAAGATGGTTGTTAGCCACCAATGTGGGTGCTGGGTCTTGAACCTGGGTTCTCTGAAAGAACAGCCAGTGCTCTTAACTGCTGAGCCATCTCTCCAGCCCTGATTTTCTTATATGTGTCCATTTAAAACCTTCCTACCAAGCACCATGGCGTCATGGTTGTTACTTGTCCTAAACTCAGGACCATGGTCTCAAGGGCTAAAAGCTGCAGGCACCTGATCATACAAAAGCCAAGTTAGGAATACAAAACCGGAAACAACACACCAAAGTGTGTTTCAGGACATTCTTCCTCAGAAGGTTAAGGACATGTTTTTGGCTAGAGATCTTAGGGGACTGAGTCTCTGTAGGTCTGGTAGAGGAACCCAAGCACTGATAAAAGCATAGAGGAAAGCTCAGTATTTTGGATGCATGCTGTGATGGTTTGAATGAGACTGTCCCCATAGGCTCCAAGTATTTGGACGTTTTGTCCCCAGTTGTTGGTGCTATTTAGGAGGTCTTGGAAGGTATAGATAGCCATGTAGGAGGAAGCAAGCACTGGGAGTGGGTTGAGAGGGTTCTTAAGCCTTGCCAGATCTTGAGTCACTCTGCTCTCTTGCTTCCTGTGCCTGCTTGAAGGTATGAGAACTTAACAACCATCTGTAACTCCAGTTCCAGGGATCCAACCAACGCCCCTTTCTGATCTCCGCAGGCACTGCATGACATGGGTACACTTAAACTCACACATATAAGCCAAATAAACTCTTCTTTTTATAAGTTTCCTTGGTCATGGTGTTTCTATCACAGCAACACAAAAGTAACTAATACACATGCCATAATCTCCTATTATCTTGTCAACTACCTTAGCTCTTTAATGCTAAATATCTTTACTTCACACATAATCATAGAGACAAATTTGGAACTTAAGTGTGTGTGTGCATGCATGTGTATATGAGTGGGTAAGTGTAGAGTCCAGAAGTCAACTTTATGTATGCATGCATGCATGGCCATGGTATACTGAGGTCAAAGGCCAATTTGGGGGAGTCAGTTTCCTTCCACTACCTGGGTCCAGGGACTGAACTCTGTGGTTTTCAGGCTTGTGTAACAACTGCCTTTGTGGGCTGAGGCATTTCACTGGTACTTCATCTTATTTATTTAAAAAGTTTTCTGGATTTAAATTATTTTATGTGTATGAGTGTTTTGCCTGCATGTGTGTAAGTGTACCCATGTCATGCAAAGCCCACAGAGGCCAGGGGTGTTGGATCCCCTGGAACTAGAGTTATATTCAGCTAGCCAGGCTGGCCAACATCTCCAGGGATTCTCCTGTCTCTGCTTCCTCAGCACTGGGATTACAAGTATGCTTCGCAGTGCTTAGCATTCTCTGGATTCTAAGGATTTGAACTCAACTTCTCATGCTTGCATGGCAAGCACTTTACTGAGTAAGCTGTCTCCACAGCCCAAGGTTGTAGTATTTTTTTCTCTCAAATAAATATTTTATTTATAACCAGAAACACGTGAAGATAAACACAGTATGGAATAAACTGAAATATCTTTGATACAATGAGATTTCACTCCAACCAAAGAGAATACAAGTGATACCAAGAAAATTACAACCCCACACATTCTACAAGTTACCAACCTCATACTTCTACTTGCCAATGCAAAGACACCACTTCTTTACATGCTCACAGGTTCAGGGAAGGGTGTAGTATTATATTTGTGTACACATTTGAACCTTACAAAGACAAGGTGAACTTAAAGCAGTAATATTAAATATTCTACAATAAAGATATAGAAATTAACATGAACAGATACAACACAATTTCCAATTAGAGGTCAGGTCCAAATTTAAATGGAATGAGCATTTAAAGATTTTTTTAAAAAATCACATAAAACCAAAGTATTCTACTTTATTTTTTTAAGATTAAAAAAATTATATCTATCTATCTATCTATCTATCTATCTATCTATCTATCTATCTATCTATCTATCTATCTATCTATAAAAATGTCTCTGTGTTTTCCATGTGTGTGCTTGTGTGTGTGCATGCTTCTGAAGGGCAGAAGAGGCTGGGTTCCCTGGAACTAAAATTACAGGTGGTTGTGAGCTGCCTGACTTGGGTGCTGGGAACTGAACTTGGGTCCTTTGAAAGAGCAGCAAGAGTTCTTAACTGCTGAGGCATCTAGTCCCATATTTTAGTTTTAGTGGTGTTGGAGATCAAATTCAGGACCTCACACATGGAGTAAGTATGTTATTCCTTTTGGCCCCCCAAATTGTATTTTGGATATTGGCACCACGGTAAGTTACATTACAAGGCAGAAATGAATACAGTATAGGTTTTTATCTCATATATTATACAAAGCAGCAAAAACACCTGCATTTTTTATTTTGTTGTATTTTCTTGGGGTACTGGAGACTGAACAGGGTCTTGCACAAGCTTGGAAAGAGCTCTTCACAGAACCATGTCTCTGAGCCCTCTTTTCTTTTCAACCGTGTTTAGTTAAATGTGCTTCTGATGGAACTCTACTGGGTTATTAGCTATAGCTGTTTTCATGACTAATCTCTAGCATCTGCAATGCAGCTCAAAAGTATCAAAACCACACTGTTATAAACCTGAATTAAAAATAAGGATACACGAAGGCAATTTCATGAATGGAAACTGAGAGCAAATGTTATAGGTTGAACTGGGTCCCCTAAATTCTTATGAGGTCATAGTAAGGTTGTGACCTTAGTACCTGAGAATGTAACTGTATTGGAGAGAGGTCTTTCAAAGAGACAATTAAACTTAAACAAGACCCCGATAATAATCAGAATTCTATGAACATCTGCTGACACTTGAATCTCAGACTTTTAGTCTCTAGATGTTAAGAAAAATTTCTTTGATGGTGAGATGACTTAGCAGGTAAAGGTGCTTGCTGCCAAGCTTGACGACTTGAGTTTGATCCCCAGGACCCACAAGGTGGAAGAAGAAAACCAAATCCCACAAGTTGTCCTCTGACTCTTGACATGTGCACTGTGCCACGTGCACACACACATACTCTAATAAGATTTTTATTTTATTTTTTTGAGAGAGGGTCTTCTCTATAGCCCCAGATGGACTGCAACTTGCTGTGTAGACCAGGCTGGCCTCAATCTCACAGAGATTACCACCACCATGCCCGGCCTACTATAAGCCTTTAAAGACTTTTATTTCTGCTGCCTACACTCAGGAGCTGTCATTAGAATGAAAACTTTAGCTTCCTATGAAGAAAGCTGGCTTAAGCAGGCAAGATTTTCGGAATTTTCACCAAACAAGCTGAAACAATATTGTTGATATAAAAAAAATGGATTCTGAAGCACAGAGTAATTGGTAGAAAGCCTACTGTTCTTACTGAACCTAACTAGCACTAAAGTAACTGGAATTTGGCCAACAACTTAATGCATAGCTGTGTGTACAAACAAACACAACAGAGTATGTTGGCCTTGGAAGATACTAGATTTGAGTCTTTCAAGTTTAGTTTCAGGAAATGTTTTACTCCAGATAAAATAATCTTAGGACTGGCAAGATGAGTACATGCACCTACTGCCAATCTGAGTTTGATGCCTGGAACCCAAATGGTTGAAGAGAACAAAATCTAGCAAGCTGTCCTCTACTGCCACATGCGCTCCATAGCATGTACACGACCTCCACGTAAATAAATGAATGTAACAATAAAAAATAAAGAATTTGGGCATGGTGGTGCACACCTTTAAATCCCAAGGTTTGGGAGGCAGAGGCATGTGGATCTCTGTGAGATTTAGGCCAGCATGATGAGTTCCAGGCCAGATGGAGCTACAGGAAGCCTCCTGTCTTAAAAAAAACAAACAGGCTAGAGAGATGGCTCAGCAGTTAAGGGCACTGACTGCTCTTGCAGAGAACCGGGGTTCAATTCCCAGCACCCATATGGCAGTTACAAACCGTCCCTAACTCCAGTTCCAGGGAATCTGAAGCCCTCTTCTAACCTCTGTGGCATTGCACGACACGAGTGCACTCTAGTATGTGCAGGCAATACATTCATACACATGAAGTAAAAATAATAAATATTTTAAAAACAAACAAACTTACGAACATAAACAAAAACCAAAAACCTAAGAAACAAAACAGAATTTTAGATGGCACCAGGTTACATTGGTTTTGCTCACTTACCTGCCAAATGTAAAGGTGTAGAATGTCGGCCTTGGGTATCACGGCAATTTACATTATCAGGTGAGGACAACTTCTTCACTCTGGCTAAACAACCCTTCTTGGCAGCATCTAGCAAAGCTGCATCTCCTCTAAGTAGATCTTGAATATCTGTATCTCCATCTTTAACAAGATCTAAAGGCGTATTACCGTCTCTGTTTTTCTTTGTAGGGTCTGCACCATGCTAGGTATGCAGAAAACAGGAAGGGAGTAGGTACTGACTTAGGTATGTCTTTTGTCATTGAGAAGATAGTCAATGTAACCAGACAAAGAAAATAATTTCTTATTAACTCTACCACACAACAGGAACACGATTATTAATGCTTAAATACCATGAGCAATTGCAATGCAATGGTATTTATATATCTAGGTTCACAAAAACACAGTAAAAAATTTCAGCTATATAAATTGAAAAAGAAATTTTTTTTGGTAGACCGGGTCTCATGTATCCAGGCTGGTATTGAATTTGCTCTATACTTGAAAATGATCTTGAATTCGTGTTCCTCCTGGATGCCCTATCATACCCACATTTTAACCGTTGTGCTGGGTATCAAATCCAGGGCCTCATGCATGCTAGAAGACACTCTGTCAACTGGGCTATATCTCCAGTCCCTACAGTGTAACTTTATGGGGCTATTGCCAAATATGCAGTCCTTAACTGCTTTTTATCTTTAATAAACACTGTAATGCTTTATCTACAAATTATATTAGTATCTCTGTTAAACCAGCACCAACAGTTTTACAAAATGTTAAATAAACTAGGTTTATAAACTACATAATTTGTCAAGTAATTTGAGGTTAAATTACTAAACAGGAAAATACAGACAGCAGAGAACTTATCATATGACAGATGACTACATTAAAAAACAAATAATGCACTGTATAGATTTGTAGATATTAAAATAGTGCTCATGACATTTCCTGAAATCTAGTTAAAGAATTAGATAACTTTGTTTTTCTACTCATAGTAATTTAATATACTAGAGTTATTGGAAAAATAACCAGCATATTTTAGATAATTCACATTTACGGTAAGTACTTAAATCTACCTGGAGCAGAAGTTTGCATATTTCATATTTTCCTTTTGCTGCAGCTTCATGTAAAGGTGTAAATTTCCATAAATCCGCTACATTAACTACTGCTCCATGCTTAACAAGAAGTTCTGCAACTTCATAATGTCCATAAGAGCATGCATTGTGCAAAGGTACAAGGCCTCTGAAATGAAAAATTAAACAATAATGGCAGAGAATATGATTTAACTTCAGTAATTATATATAAATGATAAACAACATTTCTTGATCTAAGGGATAGTATATAGATTATACTTTGTAGAACTTAATCTGGAAAGCAGAAATAGACTTTTTTTGTAGAGGCATTTAAAATTATTTCTTTTCTTTTCTATTTTTTGAGACAGGGTCTCCCTGTAGTTCCAGCTGGCCTGGAACTTGCAATGTAAACAAGGTCTGCCTGGATTTCACAGAGACCTACCTATCTCTGCCTCCTGAGTGCTGGGGTTAAAGGTTTATACCACCATGCCCAGCTAGTATTGTTTTAACAAAAAAGATTCAAGATAAACAGGAAAAATTCAAACACTCTCAATTAATACTTTATTAAATATCATTAATACTATAAATATGAAACTTATTGGCAATTATAAAATTTCAAGGCATTACAAAAACTAGCCTTACTATAAATGCTAACCACTCACACCTTTTTTTTTTGAGACAGGGTCTCATGCTGTAGCCCAGGCTGATCTCAAACTTGTGGAGATTCTCAAGCCTTAGCCTTTAGTGCTGGGGTTATAGACATGTGCCACCACATTCAGGGCTTTTTTTTTTTTTTTTGGAGACAGGGTCTCATACTATAGCTCAGGCTGGCTTCAAAGTTATACCAGTCCTCATGTTCAGCATAAAATCTTAACTGAAGTTAGTGAGTTATCTTTAAATCAATGTTAGGAAACAGATTACAAACTGAAAAGCAAAAGCTCTTACTTTCCTGAAAAGGTCACACACAAGCATGGCAGTTGTTTCTTACCCTTTATCTTTAGCATGCACATCAGCTCCATGCTGCAGCAGATATTCCACCACAGACACTCTGTTATATCCAGCTGCAAAATGGAGTGGTGTTGACTGTCGCCCTTCCACATCTCTACAGTTGACACTCTGAACAGTACACAGTTTCTGTAGGATTTGAACACAGCATATGTATTATGCTATAGTTTCATGTCATCTTAGTATGTAGAGCAGAAATTTCAAATGTCTGACTTTATTTCACCATATAAGTATTGTCAGAAACTATTCAATTAGTTTTTTTTATTTTTTATTTTATGTGTATGAGTGTTTTACCTGCATGTATGTAAATGTACCCATGTTGTGCAATGCCTGCAGAGGTCTGAACTTGCTATGTTGGCCAGGATGGCTCCGATCTTACAAAAATCTGTCTGCCTCTGCCTCCTGAGTGCTGGTATTAAAGGCAGTACAGTACCACCACATCTGGCTCAGAAACTATTCTGGTTTCATTTACTGAATATTCTTCTGATTCTCTCATTTATATGTGTATCTTCTAGCTTTTCCCAAGGCAAGAAGTAGATCTGCTTCTTATGTAATAATGAGAACCAATACTTCAATTACTGCAACTTTCATTCAGTGGTTAATACCATTGTAGTGCAGCATCAGCAACACTGAGAGTCTGTGAATAATTCAGTCCCAAATCCCTGCTATAAAGTCAGATCCTGCATTTTTAGACAAGCATGGTGGTTTATGCATGCAATCCTAGCACCTGGGAGAAGGCAGGAGACTCTGAGTTCAGGACCAGCCTGGACTCCAAGGTACGACTTTTCAACAACAGTAACAACCACCAAAAAACCCTGCAAGGGGCTGGAGAGATGGCTCAGCAGTTAAGAGCACTGACTGCTCTTGCAGAGGACCTGGGCTCGATTTCCAGAACCCACATGGCAGCTATGAACAGTCCTTAACTCCAGCTCCAGGGGAATCCAAAGCTCTTTTCTGATCTCTGCAACACTGCACAACATGGGTATACTCATTCGTGCAGGCAATACACCCATACACATAAAAAAAAAAAAAAAAAAAAAGTTGGGTGTGGTAATGCACGCCCTTAATCCCAGCACTCGGGAGGCAGAGGCAGGTGGATCTCTGTGAGTTCAAGGCCAGCCTGGCCTACATAGTGAGTTCTAGGACAGCTGGGGCTACAGGGAGACCCTGTCTCAAAAGACAACCCCCCCAAAACCCCACAACAAATAATCTTCATTCTAACAAGGTCTCTATCTTAGAAGCAATTTAAAGTTTGAGACATAATGCTACAGACCATGGTTCTCAAAAAAAAAAAAAAAAAAAAATTTTTTTTTTTTTTAACAAAGTCTTCCC